GAAATGCAACACAGTGCCCAAAGATGAGCTTTTTACTGCGTCCTTTAGCAGTCAAATGGAAGATGCTATTTCAAGCAATAAGAGAAAGGACAAGACCACCCAATCACTTGAATGACTTCTCAAAAACTGAACTAAACGTTACTTGACTAAACTACCAAGTTACAAAAGAAGGCTGTCATATTGAATCAATATTATTTACTTACCTCCTGGGACGCTTTTGCTTGTTTTTTGTGCGGCTTTTTCTTGTTGGCTTGGGCAGAATCCTTCTCTGTTAAGGAAAGCAGGGGGGCGGGGGGGGAAGGCATTTCTCAGTATCTAGTGTTTACAATCAACTTAAAAAACCATACATATGCACTTTTTTTTTTTTAACTAGAAACAAATGCATGAAACACTGAAAAGGGAGACTTAAGTGTGCCCAAAGCTACACCAGCATTAGAACCTGGTATTACTTGCAGAAGCTGAAGTACTGGTATTGCTTTATTTCTTATCTACTGATGCTGCATTCAGGGCACGGAAATAAAGGATTTGTATTTCACCCCCCTCCCCCATGCATACAACCAGGGTAGCTTACTATGTCATATTAGCAATCCGAACACACTTCCTTGGGAACAGAAATCTTAAAGAATTTTACAATTTCTTAGATTGAGCTTACTACTCTGCTTCACACCAGAGGCTCTCAGTCTCACAGCTAGGTGACATCTGAGATCAAAACACTAGTTTGAATAATGAGATGTATTACACAGTCCAGATCAGACCCTGGCTTAAATGTAATCTGTTCCAAAAGCAGCATCAACAGGCATTTATACAAGCTTAGATCACTAAAACTTATTTTCTACTTCCCTATCTGCAAGCGTAGATGTTTTAAAACATGGAGTTTTAGATGCAGTTGTAGCCACATGCAGTATTTTCTACCAACACATCACAGCTTCGCCATGACTGTATTCATGATGGGGTTACTGTAATCCAAACTGGATATTCAAAAGCAACATTTCACCTACAGCAGAAAACTGCACACATTCCCTTCTAAAATGTGGATTACTAAACTGGCAGGGAATTCTCAAGCCCTTAGTTTAAGTGAGCCAGAGACACTTCATTAAAAAGTCTTCTTGGCCACGTAAAGATCCAGGGTAAGGTGCCCTGGCTCTTAAAATTATGTTACAAAGATTTTTTCCTAAGAAGAGCTTCAGTCTAACAACTAACTGTCCACTGCAGACAGATCTCCAGAGTTTGTCCACGCCTTAGTACTGCCCAGAGAGCCCTCCATCACCTTTTCATGATTTAGCTCCTTCCATAAATTCAGAACTTCAGTCAGGTTTTTTCTTCCTCTCCTATTGACTTGAATCTTAAGTGCTTAGATTATGTCAGTGTAGTAAAGCTCCTATTAATATTTGCACCCTTTAACTTTCAAGCTTTGCTTCTCAAACTTCTGAAGGAGAAAGACACCAGAACAAGAAAGTTATATCCTCCTCCAAAAAGCTTCACATCTCACCAAGTTTACATAGCCTTGGCTGCTAGGTGAAATCATTTTAGCTTACATCCACAGACGGACAGTCATTACATTTGCTGCTGGTACAAAAATACGCATTCTATCATTGTTACCTTGAAGGGACAAGACAAGACGGGTAGTAGCACTGGACAGGTTATCCAGAGAGGCTGCGGAATCTCCATCCTTGGATGTTTTCAAAACTCAGCTAGACAAAACCATGGCTGACCTGAGCTAATGTTGGCAATAGTCCCGCTTCATGCGCAAGACTGGACTAGATGACCTCCAAGGATCCCTTCAAATCAACATTTTTATGATTTTAAGTGTTTTACCTGAGCAATGAACACCACATGCTTTCCACTGAATTTCTTCTCCAGCTCACGAACTAGCCGCACCTGAATCTTCTGGAAAGATTTCAGCTGAGGAACTGGTACGAAGATAATTATGGCTTTTCTGCCACCACCCACTTCAATTTCCTGAAACAGAAGTAGAAAGTAAGCATTATCTAGGGGTTGAGAAGCAATGTTTGGTTTGATTGTGAATCCTCTGAACACAGATATTTGTTAGTCTTGCTTACAATTTGGAGGTGGGGGGGAGGGGAAGAGCAGAGAGCAATACCTGTTTTAATGCATTTAAGAGCAAGCATTAAACAGAAAAACCTCTGTCAAAGCACTTGTTCTGCTGTAAAGGAGTGATTAGGCAATCAATCCCACCACTCCTTTCAGAGTCACATCCTCTGAATAGCAAAGCTCATTCTTTCTGCAGGATAGGACTCAGATGCTAAAATCCTAACTATACTGCCTGCTTATCATCACATCTGCAGTGGTACTTACATGCTGATACAAAGTTTCAGGAATTTCTAATGCAGACTCTAGACAAAGTTTACAGTAATAAATCTCTTATTTTTGAGCTACTACTTCATGGAAGTCACCTTCTGTCCACCACTTGCCAAGGCCTGCATCACTACTCAAACAAAACATTCCCTTCCCCTCCAAATGCCAGCAGGTTTACATCACACCACCATGAATTACTTTTGCCCTGCTTTGTTTCTCCAACAGTTGATCAAAACCAAAGAAGTGTGTATAGGCTTTCAAGGCTCTTCTCCCATGAGCCTAACTGCAGGCACATTCTCATTCTCCAACAGAACAGAAAACTGAATTGTTTTTCACCAGTTACATTTCCACATGAGCTAACTCAGATGCCCACAGGAGACTTCTCACAAATAAAACTAAGTAGCTAAGTAAACAACAAAGACATTTGTAAAAATTCCTCATTGAGGACAGTACGCATTGCTGTACTGCAGCAGCAAAGCAGGTCTTCTGAAGGCCCCTGAACTCATATATCAAGCTGACTTCTGCATTCCAAGATTCTTTACCTTAACTCTAAGCAGTCATGCATCTGTGCCTGGGTGCATATTAGTGGGCCTGGGCAAGAAGCAAAAAGCTACCTACTGAAGTTTTTGGTTACAGCAACCAGCTCCAGAAGTTCCATCCAGTCTCCAAGGCTGACAAACTCTAAAACTAGTTTTCTTCCTCTTTTTCCACAAGTTTTCTTCTTCCTTTTCTTCCTTAAGGTTTCATTTGCTAAAATTTACACACAGGCTAACCTACGTGATCAAGTCAGTCTATTACCTCGATCCACCTCCTATTTATTACTTGGTACATAAAAGAGGGTTTACAACAAACTGATTTTACAAGGAGTATTACAGTTTACATTCCTGACAAAGAATCTGCAGTGCCTACATTGCCAGCCAATATTCACATACATACAAAGTCAGTTTCAGATCTCAAGCCCAGTTTGCAGAGACAGAAAGTAGAACTACCATTTTTAAACATGTTTGTTTAAAACACCAAAATGCCATTTGAGTTTTTACAATGACTTTTCAGATCAGTTCCTAAAAAAATAACTATTACAAAATCCTATGTGTTAGCAGCAAATACCAGAAGATAAACCACAACAGCACCTAGGAAAACAATCACAGGCCATAAGAAACAGCTGAAGATGCCATTCAACTAGAATGTTAACATTCGTAAAAATTAAACACACACAGAGCAAGTCACCAAGCAATTCTCTGTGGAGAAGGTCTAGCCTACCTTAGCTGCTGTGATATTCAACTCCCGCAGCTGAGCCTTTAAGTCAGAGTTCATTTCCAACTCCAGCAGAGCCTAGGAAAGTGAAGTTACAGAATAATCCATTACATACAGTTCAATTCATAAGAACCCTCGAGATCAAAGTCTGTCCACAGTGCCAGAGAGCAGCTATATACTTACTACCACAGTCGATATCAAAGATTTAACTTCCTGCAAGTCACACTGACAGATGCAACAAATTCAACTGGCGGGAACACAGGCTGACTGCCCCAGTTCCTAAGTAAAACTAGGAAAAAGTATGTATCTAGATAGCATCACCCTCGAAGTTTAAGCTCTAGACAGCCGTCACAACACTGTCTCCATAACTTGCAGTCAGTTACCAGAGAGCAGAAGCTAAGACACATACCTGGGATATACCAGACTCGAACTCATCTGGCTTCTCGCCATTAGGCTTCACAATCTTTGCACTAGAGCTGAACATGGCCTTTCTGCAACGCAAAAGAACATCTCAGTTGTCACCAGGAACACGTCTTCTGCTAAAAACACAGCAAGACTCTGCGATCCGGGTACTCGGCCACATGCTTCAAAGCGAAGCCAGAGAGAGCCCCACGGGCCACGCGAGCCCCGGCACGCCGCTCCAGGGGACGCCGACCACAACAAGGGAAAACCGTCCTGGGGAACGAGGGCCTGCCCACCCCGCGTCCCGCCT